ACAGATAAAGTGTGTATACTTTCCAAATTACAGTATTTTCGTTACAATATTTTTTAATTACATCAAAAAATAATAAACAATATGACATGATTAGTCTTTAGATCCCCACTGACCATTCCAAACATCCGGATGTTAGAAATATTGTTCCAGTGTTTACTTTTTGGACATTATAGATTTGGCGGCAAAAGTCTTCTGTAGACAAAGAACATTCCAATTCCAATACTGAAGAGTAAGGGAGAGATTCCCCTCCTGCCTAATTTACGACCGAGCGTTAAGGTGTCAAAACCGGTCCAGCCCCCCCTCCCCTTTTCTGTGGGTGAGAGGGTCTGGTTGTTGTCAGCCATTTGCCAAGCTGATCTGAGGCCTTTGATCCTCACGTGTAGTCATGACAGGTGTAAAGCTCGTCGCTATTGGACTCAGAATCAAGCTTCACCATCTGGCAGTTCGACGGACGCATCTGGGTTTGAATGATGCCAGGAGAATGCTAACCTGCCCCAATGTATAGTGCCAACTCTAACGTTTGGTGGAGGAGGAATAATGGTCTGGGGCTGTTTATCGTGGTTCGGGCTAGGCCCCTTAGTTCCAGTGAAGAGAAATCTTAACACTACACCATACAATGACATTATAGATGATTCTGTGCTTCCAACTTTGTGGCAACAGTTTAAGGAAGGCCCGTTCCTGTTTCAGCATGACAATGCCCCCGTTCACAAATCGAGGTCCATACATGGTTTGACGAGATCGGCGTGGAAGAACTTGAATGGCCTGCACAGAGCCCTGACTTCAACCACATCGAACACCTTTGGGATGAATTGGAACACCAACTGCGAGCCAGGCCTAATCGCCCAACATCAGTGCCCAACCTTACTAATGCTCTTGTGCCTGAATGGAACCAAGTCCTCGCAGCAATGTTCCAACATGTAGTGGAAAGCCTTCCCAGAAGAGTGGAGGCTGTTATAGCAGCAAAGGGAGGATGAGCTCCATATTAATACCCATGATTTTGGAATGAGATGTTCGACGAGCATGTGTCCACATACTTTTGGTAAAGTAGTGTAAATATGTGACTCGTTTCAGGAGACTATGCATATGTCGCGCTTCACAGGAGAGCCATTTGAACGTAAACTATTTAAAAATCCAAATGAGTTTTTTTTGCAGAAATGCCTTCTGGAACATGTGAACTTTCATGTGCCTTAATAACAAACTTGTATGCCATCTGTAAATACAAACAAAATTGTTAAATTACGAGCCTAGTTGGTTTAGCTACAAAAAACGGCAGCAACCTTCCCGCTAGCCATGATTGGCTGAGATAATGAGTGGGCTGGACATGCCAAGAGATGAGTTCGGATTGGTCTGCCATGTAGCACACTTCTGTCTATTTGAGCTGGTCAGTATGTGTAGATAATCCTTTCTAACACAGCTTTTTTTAAAGATATCACGTAGTAGAACTGCATAAGTGTTGCGCTCCACTTTCTGGAGGACCGAGTTTTGAAGTCAGTGGAATTAGAGTATGATAGCTAAGGAGATGGAGAAAACACCTGTCTCCGGATTACATCTTCAAACTAAGGGCAACCATGGCATCCATGACAGAGAGTGAGAAGCGTTCATCCATGTACAGTGGGGAAAAAAAGTATTTAGTCAGCCACCAATTGTGCAAGTTCTCCCACTTAAAAAGATGAGAGAGGCCTGTAATTTTCATCATAGGTCCACGTCAACTATGACAGACAAATTGAGAAAAAAAAATCCAGAAAATCACATTGTAGGATTTTTAATGAATTTATTTGCAAATTATGGTGGAAAATAAGTATTTGGTCAATAACAAAAGTTTCTCAATACTTTGTTATATACCCTTTGTTGGCAATGACACAGGTCAAACGTTTTCTGTAAGTCTTCACAAGGTTTCACACACTGTTGCTGGTATTTTGGCCCATTCCTCCATGCAGATCTCCTCTAGAGCAGTGATGTTTTGGGGCTGTCGCTGGGCAACACGGACTTTCAACTCCCTCCAAAGATTTTATATGGGGTTGAGATCTGGAGACTGGCTAGGCCACTCCAGGACCTTGAAATGCTTCTTACGAAGCCACTCCTTCGTTGCCCGGGCGGTGTGTTTGGGATCATTGTCATGATGAAAGACCCAGCCACGTTTCATCTTCAATGCCCTTGCTGATGGAAGGAGGTTTTCACTCAAAATCTCACGATACATGGCCCCATTCATTCTTTCCTTTACACAGATCAGTCGTCCTGGTCCCTTTGCAGAAAAACAGCCCCAAAGCATGATGTTTCCACCCCCATGCTTCACAGTAGGTATGGTGTTCTTTGGATGCAACTCAGCATTCTTTGTCCTCCAAACACGACGAGTTGAGTTTTTACCAAAAAGTTATATTTTGGTTTCATCTGACCATATGACATTCTCCCAATCCTCTTCTGGATCATCCAAATGCACTCTAGCAAACTTCAGACGGGCCTGGACATGTACTGGCTTAAGCAGGGGGACACGTCTGGCACTGCAGGATTTGAGTCCCTGGCGGCGTAGTGTGTTACTGATGGTAGGCTTTGTTACTTTGGTCCCAGCTCTCTGCAGGTCATTCACTAGGTCCCCCCGTGTGGTTCTGGGATTTTTGCTCACTGTTCTTGTGATCATTTTGACCCCACGGGGTGAGATCTTGCGAGATTATCAGTGGTCTTGTATGTCTTCCATTTCCTAATAATTGCTCCCAGAGTTGATTTCTTCAAACCAAGCTGCTTACCTATTGCAGATTCAGTCTTCCCAGCCTGGTGCAGGTCTACAATTTTGTTTCTGGTGTCCTTTGACAGCTCTTTGGTCTTGGCCATAGTGGAGTTTGGAGTGTGACTGTTTGAGGTTGTGGACAGGTGTCTTTTATACTGAAAACAAGTTCAAACAGGTGCCATTAATACAGGTAACGAGTGGAGGACAGAGGATCCTCTTAAAGAAGAAGTTACAGGTCTGTGAGAGCCAGAAATCTTGCTTGTTTGTAGGTGACCAAATACTTATTTTCCACCATAATTTGCAAATAAATTCATTAAAAATCCTACAATGTGATTTTCTGGATTTTTTTTTCTCAATTTGTCTGTCATAGTTGACGTGGACCTATGATGAAAATTACAGGCCTCTCTCATCTTTTTAAGTGGGAGAACTTGCACAATTGGTGGCTGACTAAATACTTTTTTCCCCCACTGTATACGGGTAAGATAGTCTAGCTAGCTACATTTTCCTTTGCTAGTTATAGCCTAATGTTATTTAGCTAACATTGAACCTGGTTGGTTAGCTACCTGGAGATTCATGCAGGGTAGTAACGTCATGAGTTGGGATTATGATCCATTGTTTAGCTAGCTAGCTACATGTCTTTAAAAAAGACTCCACTATGCAAGTAACCATTTCAATAGAATGTTCATGATGTCACTGCGACAACTGTTGATAGACGTAGCTGGTAAATTCACTCTGGCTATCTTCTCCGATTTCAGAGCACTCTTGTCTGAGTGTGCCAGAGCGCAGGATAACTGACGAATTTACGAACGCTCAACACCCGTTGAATATGGCCGGTGTCAGTAAATGTTGGCAAAAAAGCGTAATTCAATTGTTGCCATCAGCACAGTTGCAGTCGCCAACGCTCTGGATAACATAAAAACAGCCTAACCAGCTCTACTGGGGCAAGTAAAATGGTCAGAGTGAGCTATTCCTTCATTTGTGTCTGAAAGTAGCTAGCAAGCTAGCCAACGTTAGCCAGTTAGCTTGGGTGCTTGTTTGCTGTTGTTAGGACAGAATGCTCGGATCAACCCTACTCCTCGGCCAGAGAGTCCAGTGTGCGCTCTGAACACTCCTTAAAGAGATGGGCTAAAGCTTAAAAGGGTGTGAACGATGCTGAACGAATGTAGACAAAGAAGAGCTCTCCAGTAGGTGTACCAAAACATTCAAAGGCCATTTTCTCAAAAGTGAGGTTACAAGCTTATCAACTTTCAAAGCAGAACTACTTTCCCATTGTTCCTCAACTGTAGTGTATGATATATCATTTTCTAGCTCTGTCTCTACTTTTATCCAATGTAAAAAAACAGCATTTCAAATTTTGCAACAGAAGACCGAGTCGAGCCTGTCGGTCACATTTGAGTTGAATGGTTAAAGTGTTGCCTCTGTTCTCATCACTCGACCTCTCTGTCACAACATCAGCACTTTCTGAGTCAATAACTGGTGTCACAAACACATGGTGTGGCAACCAACAACAGTTTGCCTCATTTTCCTCCAGATGTCACAAGTTCATGCATTATGTCAAGTTGTTTGGCTGATGGGACACTTACATTTCAGTACTTTAGTAGACACTCTTATACAAAGCAACTTACAGTAGTGAGTGCATACATTTTCATAATGGTCCCCTGTGGGAATCAAACCCTCAACCCTGGCATTGCAAGCCCCATGGCTACTAACTGAGTCACACGGGACACTTGAGCAGCTGGGTAAAATTAAACTATCTAATTGTGTTTTATATTGATGTGTCTGCAGGTACAAAGAGTGTGTCCACAGTGAGTCATGTTTCTGTGAGGAGAGGAAGCTCCATCCCCATCCTATGTCTCTTTGATCAGAGCTATAGAAACAATTCGAAATACTGATGCAGAGGATCTGATTGGTTTGGTCTATTGTAGTATTCACTGACCATCCTAAGAGCAGTGGTACAACCTCAATTTCTGATTTTTTTTAAACAGTCTAAGTGATTCTGATTAATATTGGTGTATTGTGGAGAGGATGGATTGGGTAGATGATGGGGTTGGACTCCAGCTATCTGTTACTCCAGGTAAAATTCATGCACTGCTGTGTCCATTAAAGAGGAATTAATAGTAGTGCTCAGTAGTGTCCCATAAAGTAATATCCCATAGTAGTCCTGTTGATGAGGGTATTACTTGGAAGCAGTCATACATATATTCACCAATTGATACATTGGTAGATTACAAACATTCCTGTGCACCTCCTGGGTCAGAACAGACTGTGTCATCCACTCATGGCAACACATCACCTCCTTGTCCTGGACATCTTTTTCTTCCTCACTGGACTCTCAGGTAAGTGAGGGAAGACATTTTGTTGTTTGATATTATTAGACTCACTTCCTCTAACTCAGACACTGAGACTGAGTACATGCTGAAAGTCATAAAACTTGTAATGTTCCGTTTACTTTGCCCATAGACATTTTAGTCACATTATAGATTTTCAGTATTTTGTCGTCAATGTATTGATGAATTGTATATGATTTATTTTGTGAAACAGTTGTACTTTTTAGCATTTCTGTTTTTTTGTTGTTTTGCATAACACATTTTAATAAACTTCCAGTAAAACAGAACAAACATATTAAGAAATAGAAAATAAAAAGCTCCCATGTCTATCAATATGAGAAAATATTGATATTTTTACCTATATGTTTTAAACAAATAAGCCAGTAAAAAAAAAATACGGAACTCAATATTGTACACAATAATCCAATCAATGTTTCAGTATCTAATAAACATTCCAATAACTTATTTTTGTCAAACATAACTTTAAATTGATTGAAACTAGAGATTGTCTCCATAGTTTAGGGGTGCAGTAAATTCCATGTCAAAGCTACACTATATATACAAAAGTATGTGGACACCCCTTCAAATTAGTGGATTCGGCTATTTCAGCCACACCCGTTGCTGACAGGTGTAAAAAAAAAAAAGAGCACACAGCCATGCAATCTCCATAGACAAACATTGGCAGTAGAATAGCCTTACTGAAGAGCTCAGTGAATTTCAACGTGACAGCTAGAGCTGCCCCAGTCAACTGTAAATGCTATTATTGTGAAGTGGAAACGTCTAGGAGCAACAACGGCTCAGCCACAATGTGGTAGGCCACACAAGCTCACAAAACGGGACCACCGAGAGCTGAAGTGCGTATGCACGTAAAAATCGTATGTCCTCGGTTGCAACACTCACTACCGAGTTCCAAACGGCCTCTGGAAGCAACGTCAGCACAAGTACTGTTCGTCTGGAGCATCATGAAATTGGTTTCCATGGCGGAGCAACCACCATTTGTCTGCTGGAGTGGTGTAAATCTCGCCGCTATTGGACTTTGGAGCAGTGGAAACACATTCTCTGGAGTGATAAATCATGCTTCACCATCTGGCAGTCCGACGGATGAATCTGGGTTTGGCGGATCCCAGGAGAACGCTACCTGCCCTAATGCATAGTGCCAACTGTACATTTTGGTGGAGGAGGAATAATGGTCTGGGGCTGTTTTTCATGGTTTGGGCTAGGCCCCTTAGTTCCCGTGAAGGGAAATCTTAACGCTACAGCAAACAATGACATTCTAGATGATTCTGTGCTTCCAACTTTGTGGCAACAGTTTAGGGAAGGCCCTTTCCTGTTTCAGCATGACGAGGTCCAGACATGGTTTGTTGAGATTTGTGTGGAAGAACTTGATTGGACTGCACAGAGCCCTGACCTCAACCATATCAAACACCTTTGGGATGAATTGGAACACCGACTGCGAGCCATGCCTAATTGCCCAACATCAGTGCCCGATCTCACTACTACTCTTGTGGCTGAATGGAAGCAAGTCCCCGCAGCAATAATCCAACATCTAGTGGAAAGCCTTCCCAGAAGTGTGGAGGCTGTTATAGCAGCAAAGGGGGGACCAACTCCATATTAATTCCCATGATTTTGGAATGAGAGCATGTGTCCACATACTTTTGGTCAAGTAGTGTAAAAATGAATTCAATGGTTAAAGTGTTGCCTCTGTTCTCATGGCTCGACTTGGGTGTCACAACATCAGCAGTTTCTGAGTCAATAACTGGTGTCACAAACACATGGTGTGGGAACCAACAACAGTTTGCCTCAGTTTTCTCCAGATGTCACAAGTTCATGCATTATGTCAAGTTGTTTGGCTTATTATCTGATGGGACTCTGGAGCAGCTGGGTAAAATTAAATCTAATTGTGTTTTATGTTGATGTGTCTGCAGGTACACAGAGTGCTTCCACAGTGAGTCATGTTTCTGTGAGGAAAGGAAGCTCCATCACCATCACGTCTCTATGATCAGAGCTATAGAAACAATGTGAAATACTGGTGCAGAGGATCTGATTGGTTTGGTTGCTCTACTGTAGTACTCACTGACCATCCTAAGAGCAGTGGTACAAGTCTACGTGATTCTGATTAATATTGGTGTATTGTGGAGAGGATGGATTGGGTAGATGATGGGGTTGGACTCCAGCTATCTGTTACTCCAGCTAAGATCCATGCACTGCTGTGTCCATTTAAGATGAATTAATTGTAGTGCTCAATCGTGTCCCATAAAGTAATATCCCATAATAGTCCTGTTGATGAGTGTATTACTTGGAAGCAGTCATACACATATTCACCACATTAATAAATTGGTAGACTACAAACATTCCTGTGCAAATCCTGGGTCAGAACAGACTGTGTTTGATAGAATCACATGTTGCTGTATCATTATCTAACACACTGTCTGTTCTGTATGCTCTAGTCTACATCTATTGTACATACTATCAGTGACTGAACCAGTGTTTCAACATACACTTTCTCAGTGTTATATGAATATCAATGATGACTAGGTAGTCTCCTAATTATATTGGTGTTTTCATTATCAGACTCATCCAATCACAACCTTTATCTACATTGTGTTCATGTATTCCAGAACTCTATGTGCAACAACAACAGATGACTGGAGTTGTAGGAGGGAGTGTCACTGTGCACTGTTACTAGAGTCGCAAATGGGACTTCCAAATGGACAATGACCACAAGCATACATCCAAAGTTGTGGCAAAATGGCTTAAGGACAACAAAGTCAAGGTATTGGAGTGGCCATCACAAAGCCCTGACCTCAATCCTATAGAAAATGTGTGGGCAGAACTGAAAAAGCATGTGTGAGCAAGGAGGCCTACAAACCTGACTCAGTTACACCAGCTCTGTCAGGGGGAATGGGCCAAAATTCACCCAACTTATTACATTTACATTTTGCAGGCGCTCTTATCCAGAGCAACTTACAGTTAGTGAGTGCATACATTTTTCATACTGGCCCCCCCGTGGGAATCAAACCCACAACACTGGCGTTGCAAGCACCATGCTCTACCAACTGAGCTACAGTAGGCCTATATTATTATGAGAAGCTTGTGGAAAGCTTCCCGAAACGTTTGACCCAAGTTAAACAATTTAAAGGCAATGCTACCAAACACTAATTGATAGTATGAAAACTTCTGACCCACTGGGAATATGATGAAAGAAATAAAAGCTAAAATAAATCATTCTCTCTACTATTATTCTGACATTTCACTTTCTTAAAATATAGTGGTGATCCTAACTGACCTAAAACAGGGAATTTTTACTGGGATTAAATGTCAGCAATTGTGAAAAACTGAGTTTAAATGTATTTGGCTAAGGTGTATGTAAACTTCCGACTTCAACTGTACATCTGGAGCCAGGGGACACTGGGTATTACTGGTGTGACATTGATATCAAAGGAGTAGTGGATGACGGAGTAAGAGTGTCGTTATCTGTCACTCAAGGTAAGATTCTTACACTGCTAGCATCTGTGTTCAGTAAAGCAGAATGAATAGGGTTCAGTAATGTCCCATAAACGGTCCTATATGTTCAATATGTTACTTTTCCCGCTGTAGCTGTCTAAAACAATCTTAAGTTAATAATATTATCCCCGGCCCCTAATAAATTACCCCACGCTGTCCATACTTCAGAGAAATGCTTTTTATTTCAATTTGAATAAAATGTTTTATGACTGAATAGTGATAGTGTCTATATGATATGTGTTATCTGATACATTACCTTTGTCTTTCTGTCTCTCTGAGTTCAGGTATTCCAGGCCTTTACGTTGACCAACAACAGGTGACTGGAATTGTTGGAGCGGGTCTCACTGTCAATTGCTAATATGGTAATTCTGGAGTTATGATGTGGTGCTATGAGGTGCTATGGTTCTGGTGCTATGAGGTGGTGGCTCTTGTGTGGAGAGGAATGTTGGGAATTTAGATGGAGAATCAGTATAAATAAAGTGAATAATTGATGCCAATGGAAGACAAGTTGTGATATTGACTATAAGTAGATAGGAAGGCAATGGTTGCATTGGCTGGGGCTCTTGTTCAGTGCCACTTTGATTTTTGCATGCTCTTCCTGGTACAACAGTGCCCTCTAGTGCCCTCTAGAAATTAAAAACAAATTGCAGACATCTCAGAAGAAATTAGTTAGGATTATTCTCAGATTTCCAGCACATACTCATCTTGACCACTCCCACTTTGAAAGCCTCAGATGTCTCAAAGTGGAGGAGAGAGTGAGCGGTAGGCCTACAGTATGTGGGTGAGAAGGTAATTCCCGGGATAGCATATGGGTCGACTTTTGGTGCCTATTTTGTTTTATATTGTGTCAAATGTATTGTGTTAGAGCTAAATGAGACAAGGGCGATGTACCTCTCCCCCTTAAAAGGACCACAATGGAAATACACGTTTTCAAGCTTTATTGTGTTATACTTGATGAATTATTGTATTGTCTGTGGAGGTGTCTACTCTCAGGAATTGTGAAAAACTGAGTTTAAATGTATTTGGCTAAGGTGTATGTAAACTTCCGACTTCAACTGTATTTAACTGGTCAAGAGTTTTGTCACACTTGGTGTCTATAACTCAGAGAAAATAGATATCACATGTGGCGTTCCACAAGTTTCGATTTTGGGTCCGGTATTGTTCAGTTTATATACAGTGCATTCGGAAAGTATTCAGACCCCTTCCATTTTTCCACATTTTGTTACATTACAGCCTTATTCTAAAATTGATTAAAAAAAATAATAATCTCATCAATCTACACAATACCACATAATGACAAAGCAAAAACAGGTTTTTAGAATTTTTTGCAAATGTATAAACAATAAAAATGGAAATATCACATTTACATTATTATTCAGACCCTTTACTCAGTACTTTGTTGAAGCACCTTTGGCAGTGATTACAACCTTGAGTCTTCTTGGGTATGACACTAAGAGGTATGTTTCGTTCATCTTTCCCTCGATTCTGACTAGTCTCCTAGTCCCTGCCGCTGAAAAACATCCCCACAGTATGATGCTGCCACCACCATGCTTCATCGTAGGGATGGTGCCTAGTTTTCTCCAGACGTGATGCTTGGCATTCAGGCCAAAGAGTTAAATCTAGGTTTCATCAGACCAGAGAATCTTGTTTCTCATGGTCTGAGAGTCCTTTAGGTGCCTTTTGGCAAACTGGCGGGCTGTCATGTGCATTTTACTGAGGAGTGGCTTCCATCTGGCCACTCTACCACTAAGGCCTGATTGGTGGAGTGCTGCAAAGATGGTTGTCCGTCTGGAAGGTTCTCCCATCTCCACAGAGGAACTCTGGAGCTCTATCAGAGTGCCCATCGGGTTCTTGGTCATCTCCCTGACCAAGGCCCTTCTCCCCTGATTGCTCAGTCTTGGTGGTTCCAAACTTCTTCCATTTAAGAATGATGGAGGCCACTGTGTTCTTGGGGACCTTCAATGCTGCAGAAATCTTTGGTACCCTTCCCCAGATTTGTGCCTCGACACAATCCTGTCTCGGAGCTCAACGGACAATTCCTTCGACCTCATGGCTTTGTTTTTGCTCTGACATACACTGTCAACTGTGGGACCTCATATAGACAGGTGTGTGCCTTTCCAAATTATGTCCAATCAATTGAATTTACCACAGGTGGACTCCAATCAAGTTGTAGAAACATCTCAAGGATGATCAATGGAAACAGGATGCACCTGAGCTCAATTTAGAGTCTCATAGCAAAGGGTCTGAATTCTTATGTAAACAAGGTATTACTGTTCTTTATTTTTAATACATTTGCAAACATTTCTAAAACCTGTTTTCAACTTGTCACTATGGGGTATTGTGTGTAGATTGATGAGGAAAATGTTTTATTTAATCCATTTTAGAATAAGGCTGTAACGTAACAAAATGTGGAAAAAGTGAAGGGGTCTGAATACTTTGTGAATGCACTGTATGTTAGCCCTTGGCAGTGTTATAAGAAAGCACAACATTGATTTTCACTGCTATGCAGACAATACACAACTTTACATTTCTGTGTCACAAGAGGATTTTAGCTCCACAGACAAATTATTAGACTGTATTAGTGATGTAAATACTTGGATGGCTCACAACTTCCTCCAGTTAAATCAAGACAAGACCGAGGTACTTATTTTTGGAGCCAAAGCACAGCGAGAGAATCTGGCCGCACATTTTAATTTACGGGCAATTAAGATAAAACACCAGGTATAAAACCTAGTTGTCATTTTAGATTCTGAACTCAATTTCTAATCACACAAAAGGAATGTGACCAAAATAGCTTTTTACCACATCAGGAACATTGCCAAGGTGCGGCCGTTTCTATCTCAGGCTGATACAGAGAGACTCATCCATGCTTTTATTAAAAGCAGGCTTGACTACTGTAATGCTCTCCTGTCTGGTCTACCCAAGAAAGCCATTGGTCAACTGCAAATCATACAGAATGCTGCAGCACGGGTACTGACCAAGACAAGACGGAAAGCACACATTACACCGGTTTTAAAGTCTCTGCACTGGCTGCCTGTGAGTTTTAGAATGAATTCTATTGGTTTTCAAGTCGATCCACGATTGTGCACCCCAATACATATCAGACATGCTTTTATTTAATTAATTTTTTAAAAGTTATATACCCAGTAGGTCTGTCACGCCCTGGCTCTGGGGACACTTGTATGTTGAGCCAGGGTGTGCATTTCATTTGTGTATCTAGTATGTGTATTTCTATGTTGGCCTGAGTGGCTCCCAATCAGAGGCAACGAGTGTCAGCTGTCGTTGGTTGTCTCTGATTGGGAGCCATATTTAAACTGTCTGTTTCCCATTTGTGTTTGTGGGATCTTGTTTCAAGTCTGTTTATGTTAGACCGTGAACTGTCACGTATCGTTTGTTGTTTTTGATCGTGTCTCTAATTAAAGAGTATGTTTGCCTGCAACGCTGCGCCTTGGTCCTCATCTTTGGTAGACGATCGTGACAGAAGATCCCACCTCGACTGGATCAAGCAGCGTGACGAGGAGAGAGGATGGACTTGGGAGGAGATGAGTGCGAGTCTGGAAAGAGGGATGGAGGCCTTGGCCACGGGTAGGAGTGAAGCCCATACATTTTTTAGGGGGGGGCTAACGCCGTGGACGACGGGGCAGCAGGAGGCCGCCAGGTTACGGGAGTCACTGGTCACCAGGGGGAAGGAGGATGTAGAGGCACGGCGAGAGGTACTGGCGTGTGTTGCCAGTCTGGTCCGGCCTGTTCCTGATCCCCACGTAGGGCCAGTGGTGTGTGTTCCCAGTACGGTCCGGCCTGTTCCTGCCACTCGCACCAAGTCAGTGGTGAGCTTCGTCAGCCCGGCACGGCCCGTTCCTGCTCCCCGCACCAAGTCAGTAGTGCGCGTCGTCAGCCCGGTCCGGCCCATTCCTGCTCCCCGCACCAAGTCAGTGGTGCGTTTCGTCAGCCCGGCGCGGCCCGTTCCTGCTCCCCGCACCAAGTCAGTGGTGCGCGTCGTCAGCCCGGTCCGGCCCATTCCTGCTCCCCGCACCAAGTCAGTGGTGCGTTTCGTCAGCCCAGCTCGGCCCGATCCTGCTCCCCGCACCAAGTCAGTGGTGCGCTTCGTCAGCCCGGCACGGCCCATTCCTGCTCCCCGCACCAAGTCAGTGGTGCGCTTCGTCAGCCCGGTCCGGCCCGCTCCTGCTCCCCGCACCAAGTCAGTGGTGCGTTTCATCAGCCCGGTCCGGCCCGCTCCTGCTCCCCGCACCAAGTCAGTGGTGCGTTTCGTCAGCCCGGTGCGGCCCGCTCCTGCTCTCCACACCAAGCCAGTGGTGTGCGTCGTCAGTCCGGCACGGCCCGTGCCTGTTCCACCGGTGGCTGGTCCGGCACCGGTCAGATGCTTCACGCCGGAGCTAGAGCAATCCGCTCCACCAGTGTGCAGTCCAGCTCCGGCCAGCGGGGCCAGACCGGACCAGGGGTACTTTGGGGGGTTGGAGAGGGAGCGGGGATCAGGCCCGGAGCCGGATCCGCCGCCTAAGCGGAGTGCCCATCCGGTCCCTCCCCTGTGGTGTTTGGTGGGCGCGGTCGGAGTCCGCGCCTTTAGGGGGGGGTACTGTCACGCCCTGGCTCTGGGGACACTTGTATGTTGAGCCAGGGTGTGCATTTCATTTGTGTATCTAGTATGTGTATTTCTATGTTGGCCTGAGTGGCTCCCAATCAGAGGCAACGAGTGTCAGCTGTCGTTGGTTGTCTCTGATTGGGAGCCATATTTAAACTGTCTGTTTCCCATTTGTGTTTGTGGGATCTTGTTTCAAGTCTGTTTATGTTAGACCGTGAACTGTCACGTATCGTTTGTTGTTTTTGATCGTGTCTCTAATTAAAGAGTATGTTTGCCTGCAACGCTGCGCCTTGGTCCTCATCTTTGGTAGACGATCGTGACAGAAGATCCCACCTCGACTGGATCAAGCAGCGTGACGAGGAGAGAGGATGGACTTGGGAGGAGATGAGTGCGAGTCTGGAAAGAGGGATGGAGGCCTTGGCCACGGGTAGGAGTGAAGCCCATACATTTTTTAGGGGGGGGCTAACGCTGTGGACGACGGGGCAGCAGGAGGCCGCCAGGTTACGGGAGTCACTGGTCACCAGGGGGAAGGAGGATGTAGAGGCACGGCGAGAGGTACTGGCGTGTGTTGCCAGTCCGGTCCGGCCTGTTCCTGATCCCCACGTAGGGCCAGTGGTGTGTGTTCCCAGTACGGTCCGGCCTGTTCCTGCCACTCGCACCAAGTCAGTGGTGAGCTTCGTCAGCCCGGCACGGCCCGTTCCTGCTCCCCGCACCAAGTCAGTAGTGCGCGTCGTCAGCCCGGTCCGGCCCGCTCCTGCTCCCCGCACCAAGTCAGTGGTGCGCGTCGTCAGTCCGGTCCGGCCCATTCCTGCTTCCCGCACCAAGTCAGTGGTGCGTTTCGTCAGCCCGGCGCGGCCCGTTCCTGCTCCCCGCACCAAGTCAGTGGTGCGCGTCGTCAGCCCGGTCCGGCCCATTCCTGCTCCCCGCACCAAGTCAGTGGTGCGTTTCGTCAGCCCAGCTCGGCCCGATCCTGCTCCCCGCACCAAGTCAGTGGTGCGCTTCGTCAGCCCAGCACGGCCCGTTCCTGCTCCCCGCACCAAGTCAGTGGTGCGCTTCGTCAGCCCAGTCCGGCCCGCTCCTGCTCCCCGCACCAAGTCAGTGGTGCGTTTCGTCAGCCCGGTCCGGCCCGCTCCTGCTCCCCGCACCAAGTCAGTGGTGCGTTTCGTCAGCCCGGCGCGGCCCGCTCCTGCTCTCCACACCAAGCCAGTGGTGTGCGTCGTCAGTCCGGCACGGCCCGTGCCTGTTCCACCGGTGGCTGGTCCGGCACCGGTCAGATGCTTCACGCCGGAGCTAGAGCAATCCGCTCCACCAGTGTGCAGTCCAGCTCCGGCCAGCGGGGCCAGACCGGACCAGGGGTACTTTGGGGGGTTGGAGAGGGAGCGGGGATCAGGCCCGGAGCCGGATCCGCCGCCTAAGCGGAGTGCCCATCCGGTCCCTCCCCTGTGGTGTTTGGTGGGCGCGGTCGGAGTCCGCGCCTTTAGGGGGGGGTACTGTCACGCCCTGGCTCTGGGGACACTTGTATGTTGAGCCAGGGTGTGCATTTCATTTGTGTATCTAGTATGTGTATTTCTATGTTGGCCTGAGTGGCTCCCAATCAGAGGCAACGAGTGTCAGCTGTCGTTGGTTGTCTCTGATTGGGAGCCATATTTAAACTGTCTGTTTCCCATTTGTGTTTGTGGGATCTTGTTTCAAGTCTGTTTATGTTAGACCGTGAACTGTCACGTATCGTTTGTTGTTTTTGATCGTGTCTCTAATTAAAGAGTATGTTTGCCTGCAACGCTGCGCCTTGGTCCTCATCTTTGGTAGATGATCGTGACAAGGTCCCTCAGGTCCTCTGGCTCTGGCCTTTAACTATCCCAAAGCCTAGGACCAAGAGGCACGGAGAGGCAGTTTTTAGTTACTATGCCCCCTGTCTCTGGAATAGCCTGTCAGAGAACCTGAGGGGGGCCGAAAACAGTGGACATATTTAAATAGAATCGTAAAAAACACCATTTTAGCTTTGCTTTTCCTTAGGGTGCTTTTTTAGTCTTTCAGTTTTAAATTGTTATACTTTTGTTATGTTTATCCTCTTGTGTTTCTTGTGTAGTAGATATTTCAGTTGTATTTTAATTGTTTATTTGTTTTTTCCTGTAAAGTGCATTGTGTTGCATTCATGTCTGAAATGCTCTATATACAGTGGGGGAAAAAAGTATTTAGTCAGCCACAAATTGTGCAAGTTCTCCCACTTAAAAAGATGAGAGAGGCCTGTAAGTTTCATCATAGGTACACGTCAACTATGACAGACAAATTTAGAAGAAAAAAAATCCAGAAAATCACATTGTAGGATTTTTTATGAATTTATTTGCAAATTATGGTGGAAAATAAGTATTTGGTCACCTACAAACAAGCAAGATTTCTGGCTCTCACAGACCTGTAACTTTTTCTTTAAGAGGCTCCTCTGTCCTCCACTCGTTACCTGTATTAATGGCACCTGTTTGAACTTGTTATCAGTATAAAATACACCTGTCCACAACCTCAAACAGTCACACTCCAAACTCCACTATGGCCAAGACCAAAGAGCTGTCAAAGGACACCAGAAACAAAATTGTAGACCTGCACCAGGCTGGGAAGACTGAATCTGCAATAGGTAAGCAGCTTGGTTTGAAGAAATCAACTGTGGGAGCAATTATTAGGAAATGGAAGACATACAAGACCACTGATGATCTCCCTCGATCTGGGGGCTCCACGCAAGATCTCACCCTGTGGGGTCAAAATGATCACAAGAACGGTGAGCAAAAATCCCAGAACCACACGGGGGGACCTAGTGAATGACCTGCAGAGAGCTGGGACCAAAGTAGCAAAGCCTACCATCAGTAACACACTACGCCGCCAGGGACTCAAATCCTGCAGTGCCAGACGTGTCCCCCTGCTTAAGCCAGTACATGTCCAGGCCCCTCTGAAGTTTGCTAGAGTGCATTTGGATGATCCAGAAGAGGATTGGGAGAATGTCATATGGTCAGATGAAACCAAAATAGAACTTTTTGGTAAAAACTCAACTCGTCGTGTTTGGAGGACAAAGAATGCTGAGTTGCATCCAAAGAACACCATACCTACTGTGAAGCATGGGGGTGGAAACATCATGCTTTGGGGCTGTTTTTCTGCAAAGGGACCAGGACGACTGATTCGTGTAAAGGAAAGAATGAATGGGGCCATGTATCGTGAGATTTTGAGTGAAAACCTCCTTCCATCAGCAAGGGCATTGAAGATGAAACGTGGCTGGGTCTTTCAGCATGACAATGATCCCAAACACACTGCCCGGGCAACGAAGGAGTGGCTTCGTAAGAAGCATTTCAAGGTCCTGGAGTGGCCTAGCCAGTCTCCAGATCTCAACCCCATAGAAAATCTTTGGAGGGAGTTGAAAGTCTGTGTTGCCCAGCGACAGCCCCAAAACATCACTGCTCTAGAGGAGATCTGCATGGAGGAATGGGCCAAAATACCAGCAACAGTGTGTGAAAACCTTGTGAAGACTTACAGAAAACGTTTGACCTGTGTCATTGCCAACAAAGGGTATATAACAATGTATTGAGAAACTTTTGTTATTGACCAAATACTTATTTTCCACCATAATTTGCAAATAAATTCATAAAAAATCCTACAATGTGATTTTCTGGATATTTTTTTCTAATTTTGTCTGTCATAGTTGACGTGTACCTATGATGAAAATTACAGGCCTCTCTCATCTTTTTAAGTGGGAGAACTTGCACAATTGGTGGCTGACTAAATACTTTTTTCCCCCACTGTAAATTAAGTTTGATTTGGTATCAGGGACAGAAAATCTTAAATAAGAATAAATACAATAATCATGAATTTAACTAGGACTATGAAATAATGAAGAAAGATTTTTTTATATTTTATGGCTTTTATTTCTCATGGAAGTTGATAACACCCGGGGACATGGTAAAAACGTCTACATCCACTGAAAAGTAGTTTAAAAAGTATTTTTGTATTTTAAAGGTAAAGGACACCTGACTTTCTATTTAAAGGCCTTTTGGAATCCACATTTTACACTATTTTACATTGAATAAGAAGTGATATTTCCTGAGGACAGAAAAGGCACCGCAATGTAGGAATGACCCAACTAGCAAAATGACATTTTACATACAGTTGAAGTCGGAAGTTTACATACACCTTAGCCAAATACATTTAAACTCAGTTTTTCACAATTCCTGACATTTAATCCTAGTAAAAATGCCCTGTCTTAGGTCAGTTAGGATCACCACTTTATTTTAAGAATGTGAAATGTCAGAATAATAGTAGAGAGAATGATTTATTTCAGCTTTTATTTCTTTCATCACATTCCCAGTGGGTCAGAAGTTTACATACCCTCAATTAGTATTTGGTAGCATTGCGTTTAAATTGTTTAACTTGGGTCAAACGTTGCGGGTAGCCTTCCACAAGCTTCCCACAATAAGTTGGGTGAATTTTGGCCCATTCCTCTTGACAGAGCTGGTGTAACTGAGTCAGGTTTGTAGGCCTCCTTGCTCGCACATACTTTTTCAGTTCTGCCCACAAATGTTCTATAGGATTGAGGTCAGGGCTTTGTGATGGCCACTCCAATACCTTGACTTTGTTGTCCTTAAGCCATTTTGACACAACTTTGGAAGTATGCTTGGGGTCATTGTCCATTTGGAAGACCCATTTGCGACCAAGCTTTAACTTCCTGACTGATGTATTGAGATGTTGCTTCAATATATCCACATAATTTTCCTTCCTCATGATGCCATCTATTTTGTGAAGTGCACCAGTCCCTCCTGCAGCAAAGCACCCCCACAGCATGATGCTGCCACCCCGTGCTTCACGGTAGGCACTGTGTTCTTCGGCTTGCAAGATACCCCCTTTTTCCTCCAAACATAACGATGGTCGGGCCTCCCAAGTGGCGTAGTGGTCTAAGACACTGCATCACAGTGCTAGCTGTGCCACTAGAGATCCTGGTTTGAGTCTAGGCTCTGTCGTAGCCGGTCGCGACCGGGAGACCCATAGGGCGGCGCACAATTGGCCCAGCGCTGTCCAGGGTAGGGGAGGGTTTGGCCGGCAGGGATGTTGTTGTCCCATCGCGCACTAGCGACTCCTGTGGCGAGCCGGGCGCAGTGCACACTGACTCGGTCGCCAAGTGTACAGTGTTTATACTTGCGTACTATTGTTTGTACAGATGAACGTGGTACCTTCAGGTGTTTGGAAATCGCTCCCAATGATGAACCAGACTTGTGGAGGTCTACAAATTTTTTTCTGAGGTCTTAGCTGATTTATTTTGATTTTCCCATGATGTCTGGCAAAGGGGCACTGAGTTTGAAGGTAGGCCTAGAAATACATCCACAGGTACACCTCCAATTTACTAAAATGATGTCAATTAGCCTATCAGAAGCTTCTAAAGCCATGACATCATTTTCTGGAATTTTCCAAGCTGTTTAAAGGCACAGTCAACTTAGTGTATGTAAATGTCTGACCCTCTGGAATTGTGATACAGTGATTTATAAGTTAAATAATCTGTCTGTAAACAATTGTTGGAAAAATTACTTTTGTCATGCACAAAGTATCCAAAAACTATAGTTTGTTAACTCCAACCTAAGTGTATGTAAACTCTTCAACTGTATATCTGTACCATTGTAACTCAATCAATCAAATGTATTTATAAATCCCTTTTTACATCAGCAGATGTCGCAAAGTACTATACAGAAACCCAGCCTAAAACCCCAAACGGTAAGCAATGTAGGTGTAGAAGCACGGTGGCTAGGAAAAACTCCCTAGAAAGGCAGGAACCTAGGAAGAAACCTAGAGAGGAACCAGGCTCTGAGGGGTGGCCAGTCGTCTTCTGGCTGTACCGGGTGGAGATAGTACATGGCGATGAAGGCCAGATTGTTCTTCAAGATGTTCAAATGTTCATAGATGACCAGCAGGGTCAATCAGAGGTAGAGACAGCAGGTGTGATAGAGAAAGAGAGAGTCAAAAACAGCAGGTCCGGGACAAGTTAGCACGTCCGGTGTAAAGGTCAGGGTTCCATAGCCGCAGGCAGAACGTAGCATGACAAGGTGGACTGGGGACAGCCAGGAGTCATCAGGCCAGGTAGTCCTGAGGCATGTTCCTAGAGCTCAGATCCTCCGGGAGGGGAGGGAGAGAGAGAGAGGAGAGAATTAGAGGGAGCAAACTTAAATTCACACAGGACTCCAGATAAGACAGGAGAATTACATCAGATACAACAGACTGACCCTAGCCCCTCGGCACATAGACTATTGCAGCATAGATACTGGAGGCTGAGACGGGGGGGGGGGGGGGGGGGGGGACACTGTAGCCCCTTTTGACGATACCCCCGGACAGGGCCAACCAGGCAGGATATAACCCCACCCACTTTGCCAAAGCACAGCCCCCACACCACTAGAGGGATATCAACAGACCACCAACTTACTACCCTTAGACAAGGCTGAGTATAGCCCACACAGATCTCCTCCACCGCACGTGCCTGAGGGGACGCAAAACCGGACAGAAAAATCACATCTGTGACTCAACCCACTCAAGTGACACACCCCTCCTAGGGATGGCATGGAAGAGCACTAGTAAGCCAGTGACTCAGCCCCCGTAATAGGGTCAGAGGCAGAGTATCCCAGTGGAGGGATGGGAGCTGGTCAGGCTGAGACAGCAAGGGCAGTTCGTCGCTCCAGTGCCTTGCCATTCACCTTTGCACCCCTGGGGAAGACTACACTCAATCGAAGGACCTACTGAAGAGATGAGTCTTCAGTAAAGACTTAAAGGTTGAGACCGAGTCTGCGTCGCTCACATGGATAGGCAGGCCATTCCAAAAAAATAGGAGAAACTCTACCTCCAGCTGTTTGCTTAGTAATTCTAGGGACAATAAGGAGGCCTGCGTCTTGTGACTGTAGCATACGTGTAGGTATGTACGGCAGGACCAAATCGGAGAGATACAGTGGCTTGCGAAAGTACAGTCGTGGTCAAAAGTTTTGAGAATGACACAAGTATTGGTCTTCACAAAGTTCGCTGCTTCAGTGTTATGAGATATTTTTGTCAGATGTTACTATGGTATACTGAAGTATAATTACAAGCATTCCATAAGTGTCAAAGGCTTTTATTGACAAATACATTAAGTTTATGCAAAGAGTCAATATTTGCAGTGTTGACCCTTCTTTTTCAAGACCTCTGCAATCCGCCCTGGCATGCTGTCAATTATCTTCTGGGCCACATCCTGACTGATGGCAGCCCATCCTTGCATAATCAATGCTTGGAGTTTGTCAGAGTTTGTGGGTTTTTGTTTGTCCACCCGAGGATCAACCGCAAGTTCTCAATGGGATTAAGGTCTGGGGTGTTTCCTGGCCATGGACCCAAAATGTCGATGTTTTGTTCCCCGAGCCACTTAGTTATCACTTTTGCCTTATGTCAAGGTGCTCCATCATGCTGGAAAAGGCATTGGTCGTCACCAAACTGTTCTTGGATGGTTGGGAGAAGTTGCTCTCGGAGGATGTGTTGGTACCATTCTATATTCATGGCTGTGTTCTTAGGCAAAATTGTGAGTGAGCCCACTCCCTTGTCTGAGAAGCAACCCCACACATGAATGGTCTCAGGATGCTTTACTGTTGGCATGACACAGGACTGATGGTAGCGCTCACCTTATCTTCTCCGGACAAGGTGGTTTCCGGATGCCCCAAACAATCGGAAAGGGGATTCATCAGAGAAAATGACTTTACCCCAGTCCTCAGCAGTCCAATCCCTGTACCTTTTTCAGAATATCAGTATGTCCCTGATGTTTTTCCTGGAGAGAAGTGGCTTCTTTGCTGCCCTTCTTGACACCAGGCCATCCTCCAAATGCCTTCGCCTCACTGTGCGTGCAGATGCACTCACCCCTGCCTGCTGCCATTCCTGAGCATGCTCTGCACTGGTGGTGCCCCGATCCCGCAGCTGAATCAACTTTAGGAGACGGTCCTGGCGCTTGCTGGACTTTCTTGGGTGCCCTGACGCCTTCTTCACAAAAATTGAACCTCTCTCCTTGAAGTTCTTGATGGTCTGATAAATGGTTGATTTAGGTGCAATCTTATTAGCAGCAATATCCTTGCCTGTGAAGCCCTTTTTGTGCAAAGCAATGATGACGGCACGTGTTTCCTTGCAGATAACCAGGGTTAACAGAGGAAGAACAATGATTTCAAGCACCACCCTCCTTTTAAAGCTTCCAGTCTGTTATTCTAACTCAATCAGCATGACAGAGTGATCTCCAGCCTTGTCCTCGTCAACACTCTCACCTGTGTTAATGAGAGAATCACTGACATGATGGCAGCTGGTCCTTTTGTGGCAGGGCTGAAATGCAGTGGAAATTTGTTTTTGGGATTAAGTTCATTTTCATGGCAAAGAGGGACTTTCTGGAGTATATGCAAATTGCCATCATCAAAACTGAGGCAGCAGACTTTGTGAAAATTAGTATTTGTGTCATTCTCAAAACTTGCGACAATATCAGCAATTACATGTCTCGGTTACTGTCTGGTGTCACAAACACATGGTGTGACAACCACAGTTTGGCTACTTTTTCTACAGAAGTCACAAATTCAAGCATTGTGTCAAGTTGTTTGGTTGATCATCTGATGGGACTTATGAGCAGCTGGGTAAAATGAAAGTATCTAAATTTGTTTTCTGTTGTTGTATCTACAGGTACACAGAGTGTGTCCACAGTGAGTCAAGTGTCTGTAAAGCGAGGAGGCTCCATCACCATCCCATGTCTCTATGGTCAGATATATAGAAACCATGTGAAATACTGGTGTAGGGGATCTGGTTGGTTAAGTTACTCTAATGTAGTACGCACTGACCATCCTAAAACCAGTGGTAAGACCTCAATCTCTGATGACATCAACCAGCAAATGTTCACTGTGACCATAACGAAGCTTAGTCCTAGTGATTCTGATTATTACTGGTGTATTGTGGAGAAGGAATGCACAGATGATGGGGTTGGACTGCAGTTATCTGTTACTCCAGGTAAGATCCAAACACTGCTGTGTCCATTAAAGCAGAATTAATAGTAGTGCTCAGTAATGTCCCATAAAGTAATGTCCCATAATAGTCCTGTTGATGAGTGTGTTACATTTACCTCTACGAAGCAGTCATACATATTTTCACCAAATGAAATCCATTGAGGATATTATATTGGTAGATTACAAACATCTCTGTGCACCTCCTGGGTCAGAGCAGATAGTGTGTTTGATAGAATCACATGTTGCTGTATCATTATCTAACACACTGTCTGTTCTGTATGCTCATGTCTACATCTATTGTACATACTATCAGTGACTGCACAAGTGTTTCAACATACACTTTCTCAGTGTAATATGAATATCAATGATGACTAGGTAGTCGCCAATATACAGTACCAGTCAAACGTTTGGACACACCTCCTCATTCAAGGGTTTTTCTTAATTTTTACTGTTTTCTACATCGTAGAATAATAGTGAAGACATCAAAAGGAATCATGTAGTAACCAAAAAAGTGTTAAACAAATCAAAATATATTTTATATAATAGCCCTTACACTCCTCCAGGCCGGGATGTTTAACCAAGAAGGAGAGTGATGGAGTGCTGCATCAGATGACCTGGCCTCCACAATCCCCCGACCTCAACCCAATTGAGATGGTTTGGGATGAGTCCGACGGCAGAGTGAAGGAAAATCAGCCAACAAGTGCTCAGGATATGTGGGAACTCCTTCAAGACTGTTGGAAAAGCATTCCAGTTGAAGCTGGTTGAGAGAATGCCAAGAGTGTGCAATGCTGTCATCAAGGCAAAGGATGGCTATTTGAAGAATCTCAAATATAAATATATTTTGATTTGTTTAACACTTTTTTGGTTACTACATGATTGCATATGTGTTATTTCATAGTTTTGATGTCTCACTATTATTCTACAATGTAATAAATTGTAAAAAATTAAGAAAAACCCTTGAATGAGTAGGTGTGTCCAAACTTTTGACTGGTAGTGTATATTGGTGTATTCTTTATCAGACTCATCCAATCACTACCTCTATCATTGTGTTCAGTTACTCCAGAACTCTATGTTGACCAACAAGAGCTGACTGGAGTTGCAGGATGGGTGGCTCTTGCTCTTGTGTGGCTGTGGGACCTTTTGGGACTTTAGATGGAACATTTGTGAAGTTACAGCAGGAGCAGAGAAAAAACACCAACGGCTTGGTTTTAACTGTGAAGTTGACTGGACTGAGGATGGAGAACACTGGCTGATACATGTGTAAAAAGGGAGACATACAGATGCCTGTTCATATCACTGTCAACCAACCAACCACAACAGAGTAACACCACAAGTAAGTACAGAGCAATCCCATATAACTAAGTATGATTCTATATTTATTTATCCAGTGTTGTTAGAGATTAAGGAACATTGAAAGGTCTTTTCTGAAACAAAGTGGAAATCTCTGGACCACACATTCTCTTGAGATTATCCTGTCAGACATGTTAAAGATCATTAAGAAACTGAACATTAGATAACGCTTCCTTTTAAGGGGTCCTTATTACAGTGTAATTACATGTGTAATTACACTGTAACAAGTATTGTCGTTAACTGTAACAATTCATAGTTAGCGTAATAACAACTTGTAACTGCTAGTAATTGTGGTCTGTAATTACAGAAGTGTAACAATGAATGCTTGTTACCATTCTTGTTAAAAATTGACATGTTTACACTAAATTCACCAAATTCTTGTTTAGCTTCTTGTCAGCTTCAGCCGATTAATTAACAACTGTGACAAAGGTTGGGAATTCTTGTGGATGCGCTGGGTGTCTGATATATTATAGCCTGTGCTCAAAATGCTCTAGTTACTTAACCATGAATGTGCACTGTTCAAAATATATCTCCAGTCAACGTTGTTGCTAGCACTTGCCCCGAAAATAAAGCATACCATCTGGGTTAACTTGATTGAGTTTACGAAAACAGATCTAATACGAGTTTCATCCAAGATGAGGAATAAGACACTATTTCAAAGCATAGTATATGTAATGTTTGCGTGAGTACACTGTAATTACTAGCTGTTACACAGGATTTAGCTAGTTAAAATGAAGTGTATCTTGCAGGGTACTTACTTGTAACTAATATGTACTTATACAGTACATTACCCATCCTGACAACCTGGCCCTCATCTTTTAAGTTTCTGGAAGCGCCATCCAAGTGGAAGAATAAACACACTAATACACCTTAAAGTACATGTAATATTCACATAAGTACAATGTAATTACTAGTTACACAGGATTTAGCTAGTTAAAATGAAGTCGATCTTGAAGGGTACTTACTTATAATTATGGAGTATCTACAAAGTATGTTACCCATCCTGACAATCTAATCATCAGCTTCTGAAAGTGCCATTCAAGTGAGAAATAAATACACTGGTACACCACAGAGTACATGTAATATCTACATAAATACAATGTATTTACTAGGCGTTACACAGGATTTAGCAATAATTACTTAGGCCTACAACTCATTACCAAGTGAAAATACCTACAAACAATAGATTAGCTTCTACTTCAGTCAACTTTATTGCAAAATGTTAAAATACCTTATATTTCTTACAAAATCTGAAGGATTTTTATTGTTAGATTAATAATTTGATTAATTAGACTAAACAAAGATATTACATAAAAATAACTGTTCTAGTGGTGACTCAAATCTGTAGCCTATAGAATGGTTAGTAGCCTAGATAGCTAATTTAGAAAAATGGGATTGTCTTTTTCTCCCATTTTTAACGTTACAAGTAACAAAGGAAATCAACAACTCTGTCTTCATTTGTTTCTTTCTTGTAAGCATTTTCCCATCCTGGAGTCTGAGACCTTGTGGAAATCTGTGGTAGAGAAGAAGACTGTATAACAATTTAGCATTAGACACTATGTTACCCTATACTAGTTATCATCCAGTGGAGGCTGCTGAGGGGAGTGGCGCAGTGGTCTAAGGCACTGCATCGCAGTGCTAACTGTGCCACTAGAGATCCTGGTTTGAATCCAGGCTCTGTCGCAGCCGGCCGCGACCGGGAGACTCATGGGCGGCGCACAATTGGCCCAGCGTCGTCCAGGGTAGGGGAGGGAATGGCCGGCAGGGATGTAGCTCAGTTGATAGAGCATGGCGTTTGCAACGCCAGGGTTGAGGGTTCGATTCCCACGGGGGGCCAGTATAAAAAAATTATGAAAAATAAATATTTAAAAAATATTCACTAACTGTAAGTCGCTCTGGATAAGAGCGTCTGCTAAATGACTAAAATGTAAAAATGGGAGGACGGCTCATAATAATGGCTGGAACAGAGCAAATGCAATGGCATCAAGCCATGTGTTTGATGTATTTGATACCATTCCACTGAGTCCGCTCCATCCATTATCACAAGCCCGTCCTCCCCAATTAAGGTGCCACCAACCTCCTTTGTTATCATTATTGTGTTTTCTATAGTTTAGGCCTATAGCTAGCTAGGCCTAGCTAGCTAGCTACTTAGCTAGTTCTTGTGTTATCCAGCTAGCTATAAAAGTGCATGCTAACACCAAAGATTTTTATAACTAACCCAAGATAGACCACACCCTGTTGTTTCCGATGGGAAGCTAGTGAGTCGAGTGGGCAGAACAAGCAAGGAGGTGGGCAGAGCCAAGCATGAGCTAGCAAGATCCCATTGGCTCGATCTAACATTAATAAGCATTTTTCCGTTAGGGAACGCTTAGTCACAATTTTTTGAACATTTGGCAAAGGTAGTCCATATATTCTAGTTTTGGGAACAGAAAACTGTATTGAGATCAGAGCATGTGAGTGGAGTTGAGCGGTTGGAAATCCCACTCTCCGTGTGCTTTCCAACCGCTCCACTAAAAACCTCTCCGCGCTCACAGGAAAAAAAACTGCTGCTCCAAATTTGCTCCATTCATTAAAATCACAATTTAACCAACACCTCTATTTTTGTGACTACCTGGACCTACCATTTGGTTTTGAATTATTGAAACCAAACCACATGGATTTGAATGAAAAGTATTTCAATAGACATGTGAATGTAAGAAGTGCACATAATGTAAAATAGGCTACATGTCGTATTAAACAGCATATAAACACTCTAAATAGGTCAGGAGCCAGACAGGGAGCCTAAGAAGGAATGAAAATGAATTATTTAGGCTATATTATTTAAATTATTTCAAGACTATAGCCTACAAATAAATACATTGTGAAGCATTTGTGAGTGCAACACAATAGGCTGGTATGGACATAAAGCGCTCAGCATTTAAACAACATTTTGTTGTATTAAATCATTATAGTCTATATATTGCGCATATAGGCTGTGACGTACTTAGAATTAAATACAAATTAATCAAAAAATGACATATTAGTGCCTTTAATGCCATTTTTAGAATTCATTTTTAGAATTCATGGTGCCTGGTGAGCCGGCCAGCAGTGGAGAATATCCTCTCCACACTTGCAGAGCCACTGGGGATGGTAAACACCCTTTTGGCCACTCTTGCCAGGCTGGGCAGAGATGCAGAGTTGTTTTTTTATTTTTAAATAGGTAGGCCTACAGGTTTTTAGGCAAAATAAACCAATCAAAACGGAAAGCTCCTTGAACGTGGGAATATGCCAGGCTGACATTCTCAACCCCTTTTTATTTTTTTATTTTTATTTTTTACAAACGGACACATTCAAGGGTGTTGCGAAGATGGGCAGACATTAAGCCTTAAATCCTTGACATCCCTTAATTCCTGGGATTAATAATTATTTGCACCATTGCATCACATCCAAAAGTGATAATGTTCTTCAACAGTGCAATGTTGCATGATGGAATAAGAGTTTATCTTATGACCATTTTAATTGTATTTAGAAACCATTATTCAACCAAGCTTACAATTTGGCCCACAACTGTTTATTAATGTGTAAAAAAAATATTGATGGTTAAAGCAATTTACCCATTGTCAAATGCACCATAAAATGATTAAACAATTTAAAGAATTGTTTTCAGTGAACCGTTTGTGAACCCATTTTTGCCATTGTGCTCATTTTATTTTATTTTATTTATTTCACCTTTATTTAACCAGGTAAGCCAGTTGAGAACAAGTTCTCATTTACAACTGCGACCTGGCCAAGATAAAGCAAAGCAGTGCGATAAAAACAACAACACAGAGTTACATATGGGGTAAAAAAAACATAAAGTCAAGAAATATAACAGAAAATATATATACAGTGTGTGCAAATGTAGCAAGTTATGGAGGTAAGGCAATAAATAGGCTATAGTGCAAAATAATTACAATTAGTATTAACACTGGAATGCTAGATGTGCAAGAGATTATGTGCAAATAGAGATACTGGGGTGCAAAAGAGCAAAATAAATAACAATATAGGGATGAGGTAGTTGGGTGGGCTAATTTCAGATGGGCTGTGTACAGGTGCAGTGATCGGTAAGGTGCTCTGACAACTGATGCTTAAAGTTAGTGAGGGAGATAAGAGTCTCCAGCTTCAGAGATTTTTGCAATTCGTTCCAGTCATTGGCAGCAGAGAACTGGAAGGAATGGCGGCCAAAGGAGGTGTTGGCTTTGGGAATGACCAGTGAGATATACCTGCTGGAGCGCAGACTACGGGTGGGTGCTGCTATGGTGACCAATGAGCTAAGATAAGGCGGGGATTTGCCTAGCAGTGATTTATAGATGGCCTGGAGCCAGTGGGTTTGACGACGAACATGTAGTGAGGACCAGCCAACAAGAGCGTACAGGTCACAGTGGTGGGTAGTGTATGGGGCTTTGGAGACAAAACGGATGGCACTGTGATAGACTACATCCAATTTGCTGAGTAGAGTGTTGGAGGCTATTTTGTAAATGACATCGCCGAAGTCAAGGATCGGTAGGATGGTCAGTTTTACGAGGGCATGTTTGGCAGCATGAGTGAAGGAGGCTTTGTTGCGAAATAAGAAGCCGATTCTAGATTTAACTACATTCGAAATGAATACTGAAAAGTATGCATGCATGTGTCACACATTAGCTAATAAAGCATTATAGAGATTAGTTAATCAACATACCAATTACCTGGTTTTAATAATATAAATCTTAATTATACACCAGTCAGTTTATTGAAGCTACTTTATAATTGCAAATAGTCTGGGTAGCCATTTGATTAGATGTTCAGGAGTCTTATGGCTTGGGGGTAGAAGCTGTTTAGAAGCCTCTTGGACCTAGACTTGATGCTCCGGTACCGCTTGCCGTGCGGTAGCAGAGAGACCAGTCTA